GATGCATGCTGACCCCTGCCCTCACGGCGGTGGTCAGGGAGTACGATGATCTTCCCTTTGTAACCTTTTATTTCCCTTCTATGATATGGACCATTTCTCGATTATGTGTGTCATCCTTGCGCAAGGGTCATGCTAATCTTCTGTGTATCATTCCACGAGCTTTTTTTCTTTCATCTTCTTTGTCCGGGGCAAGGTCCCACTTGCGCAAATTAGGAGATGCCAGCCGTTGATCTTTGCTATCTACGGTCAGTATCTCTTAATTCGTGCAACTGGGACCTAGCCCCCGATCAACCTCTAAGAGGCATACGTCCACCGCGAGGTGGTAAGAGCACTGTCGCGTTAGAGTTAGGGCCAAATCCCACTGGCAAAGAGGATTGGAATAAGTGGCGGAATCTGAACGTGTTCCACACACAGATGCAGAAAAGCAGATCAATCACAATGCTTTGCACCTCTCCACAAACACGTCCAAATTCAGAGGGTTATTCCAATCCTCTTTGCCAGTGGGATCTGACCCTTAGAGGGAATGCCCATTTGACGACTCCCGAGGTGAGGTGCCATTAGCAACGAGGACTTTTTTCATTTTTTTTTATTTTTATTGGATTGAACGTCTGAATCTATAAGTGATTGTAATGAAGTGCACAAAATCTGGATTGAAAGCCTGAACTAACGGAAGCAGTCAAAAAAATGGCGAGGGGGAAGTCCCCTGGGGATGATGCGCTTCCGATAGAGTTCTTTGAAGCCACATGGGCGCAAGTGGGTCCGATCCTAATGAACCTGTTCAATAAAGTGCTAGAAGGGGGCTGCTTAACAGAGGACATGTGCAGAGGAGTCATCACACTGCTGTACAAGAAGGGTGATAAACTTAACGTCCGAAACTGGCGGCCAATCTCCTTGCTGAATGTCGTGTATAAGATACTGGCGAAGGCGCTGTCAAGGCGAGTAGGGCAATACCTTCCCGAATTGGTAAAGTCCGATCAAGAGGCGTTTGTCAAAGGACGGTCGATAGTGGAGAACATAATGGTGGTAATGGGAGTTTTGGAGGTGATAGGGAAAGAAAGGAGACAAGTCCTAGTGGCAATGTTAGACCTGGAAAAGGTGTACGATCGGGTTAACTGGTCCTTCGTGTTGGCAACCCTGGAACACATGAATTTCGAAGAAAGTTTTCGGAAGTGAGTGGCAGGCATGTACATGGAGAAAATTTTTGGAAGTGAGTGGCACGCATGTACAGGTTTTCGACAGCAACAGTATTGGTCAATGGAAGGAAGTCTCAGGAGTTTGCCCTGACTCGCTCTTTGCGTCAAGGGTATCCTTTAACCCCACTCCTCTTCGTCTTGCAGATTGAAGTTATCCTTAACGCAACAAGGTCAAACAGAGTGATGAAAGGGCTGGAACTAAGGGAAGGGGTAGAAGTGAAGACCGGGGCAATTGCAGACGATCTTCTCCTTATCACAGAAGCCACCAGTGATTCCACGGGAGCAGCGAAAAGTATTTTGTACCAGTACATAGTCCTGTCCGAAGCTAAAATCAATTAGGACAAGTCTGTGTACTTCCTCCCTGAAGAGTATGAAGTGGAAGACGATTGGTCCATGAAACACATTCGCTTTAACGAAACAAAACGATACCTTGGACTGCAAGTCTCACTGTCTAACAGCCGGCCAGCGCAAGACAAAATCTTGTGGGGTAAGGTGGAAGCAAGGACCAAGAAGTGCAACGTTGCGATGGGACTCTCGCTCATGGACCGGGCTGCAGTAATCTCCACCTCAATCTTCTCTCTTATCTGCCATATCGCTGCGGTGATACTGATCTCTATAGCCACCCTCAAGCAGATTCGGGGAGTGACAGCTCGATACCCATGGAAGCCTGGAGAGCAGAAAGACACAGGCTTTATCTCCAAAGTGTCTTGGGACAAGGTCACGTAAGCCAAGGGAGAGGGAGGTTTGAGGATCGTCGATCCAGAAATGCAGAATGTGGCTATGCTGGGGAAATGGATACAAAAGATCAGTCTGCAAGAAGAGGAACATAATTGGATGCTAATCTTACAATACATACTGCAAAATGAATTTCATCTTACCCGCAAAGAGAACGTTTGGCTTTGCATACAAATGGCAACTTTCCTTAAGCGTCGACCAAAATTTGCGCTGGGTGCAGCCTGGTGTGCAGCCTGGAGCAGACTGAGACCCCAACTGCCTGTTGTTCCTGCACTGAAAAAGGATATGATGCAGCATTTGTTTGAGAACTCCAACATCAGGGACCCGAATGGCTGCAGTTTCGAAGTATCAGGGGCGAGGAACTTCGGAAGGAAGTGGATAGAGAAAGGAGTCTATAGGATCAAGGATCTGTGGGATGAGGGGAGGAGGTGCTGAAAATTTGAAGCGGATCTCCGAAGACTGCTGAGAAGACTCCGAGAGGTGGAAAATAGAGTGGGGGAGGATACCAAGGAAATGGGTGGGTGGTACAAAGAGGACCAACATCGTGAGAAACCTACCCAAGTCCTTAGGTTGGAAGAGAAAATGGAAGAGAGAGTGTGGACTGTTACATTTTGGGAACCCCTAAGAGGCAGTACAAACGGATCCAAGCTGAGAAGGATTAGGGAAATGACTATTAATGCAGATCAATCGCTCATAGCGGTGTGGGTGTGCCTGCATCTGGGGCTCAGGCGTGGTCTGGAGTACATCCTAGTGCAAGGAGGAGCTGCCATCTTGGAATTACGACTGGATCCAGTGGGGCATTCTTGAGAGTGGACGGGCCATAATAGAAAGACTTTGGTGGATTATGATATGAAGCTGGGTAGGAGAATTCATAAACCACCAGAAGCCAACACGGACTAGATCTGTGAAAGATTGGCCAAAACCTTCAATCTTCAACAGACTCCATCAGCCACGGAAATGAGAACAATTTAGGCTTGTCTTCCATATCTTCCCAGCCTTAAATTAGCAGGGTTCTTGTGACTCCTGTCTCATTCTGTTGTTCCATCAGCCAACTGGCTGGGAGACAAAGGGATGGATGTTCACCGACAATGCCTCCGCTGTGGAAACACTCAGGAAGAATCTACCTTTCATCTAATATGGGACTGTCCTGCTTCTAAACGGATTTGGCGATGGTGGGCAGATCATTGGCAACGGATGAGATCCGCCTTGATTTGGGATGAAAAGTGGGTGGTAGGGGGGTAACTCCCCCCCTTCTTCTTCAGCCATAGCGGGTGGGGGTACATGGCACAGTCGATCCGTTCAGCCATTGTCTGGATCATATGGGAAGATCGAAACAATATTCTGTTCCGGAACGAATGGTCATCGGATGAAACCATCCAGGCTAAAATCAAAGCCTCGATCAGAACAATGGTGGTGACAGACTGGGTAAGACGGGTGGGTAAAGGCCACTTGCCAAATGGCAGAAAGTGGTTTCTCTTCACATGGGCAAGAGCAAACCAACTGGCGGTGGTGACATTGGAAGGAGAACTGGTATTGTCACCGTGGTTGAGCTCACACGGAAGGGGCAGAAGGGTAATGCGGTAATGCAGTGATCCTGCTATGGGGTCAGCTGAGAAGTTTGGGAGAGTTAAAAAGGGGAGACAGCAGGTGGGAGAGTAGAAACGGAGTCGGGGTAGACTCAGAGGGGCAGCCGACCCTGTGAGAGGCTTAGCGTAAGTAGGATGCGGGTAATACAATGTAGATAAGGGTAGTACAACATAGTAGTAGAGAGGGGGGGAGAAGGGTAGTATTAAGGGGAAGGAGAGTAGGCTACGGAGATAAAAGAAAGAAGTACTAAAGACGGGAGCCTTCTCGTAGAAAGGCAGGAATGGGTAGGATTAGGACGTTCAAGGGTGGTGGGAGGGACCCACCTTCTCTCTCGGTGGGTGTAGTAATAGGCCGCAGGAGGCCGGTAGGTCATCCACGCTTTGGCTGGGGACCTTGAGAAGAGGTAACACTTAGACTGTGTCGAGTTATACTCGGGGAGGGCGGGTAGCCCTCAGTTGTCACTCATAGTTTCTAGACATGAATATAATAGATTAGGGGGACTTGTAGGGGCCACCAGGGAATAGGGTATGGGAGCTGTAAGGGTGGGGACCTATGTTAGGAGATTGAGTTATACATAGGTTGCACAATAGAGTTTACTCGAGGAAAGAATGAGTACAGAGACACAGAAGCTAAACCGGCTGATGCTGCCGGGATAACTCCGGGTTGGATTGTGAGGGCCCCGGCCTCGGCTTGATATGGGATTCGGAATAAAAGTGAATGTTTTTGAGGAAAAAGGAAAAAAAAAAAAAAGAAGAAAAGAATCGCTATTGATCTCCGTCTCTGCATCTCTTGCAGAAACCATCCAGATTCAGGCGCGCTTTGATCCAATCCTCTTTGGCTGTTGAGCCTCGCCCCTGTCTATTGGCGGGGAGCTGCACCTCGTGGAAATCGGGTCCAGCTCAGATGTACGGCTCCCGTATGCTCTGTGGGAACATTAGATCTTTTTTTTTTTTTTTTTTTTGGCATTAGATCCTTTTTCTTTTCCTGGAGCTTTTTTAACTCCATCTGGCTGGGGCCCTACTGGTAGCTCCAACTACTGGCCATCCGCCAACATTTTAAACGTATGTGGATTTCTTATCGTCCAGATGCATTCAATCAAAACGTTGGCGTTGGCGGATGTGGTGAGTAGTAGTGTAGTAGTGCACCTAGGCGCTGCGCCAGCCTATCGACGGTGCTGGTGGTTCGATTTCGATTCTACACGATTATTAGGGCCTCCCGTAGTTGCACTACTCGCCATTTTGACTGCATCTGGATACATTTGAGTCCAAATGCATTCAAAATGTTGGCGGATGGCGAGTAGTCCACGACTACAGCAGGCCCTTATTACCTACCCGAACTCCAGCATACGACCAAGTGGGGGTGACCCTTGGGTCAATGATCGTGGCGCCCCTGGGATTCCTTTCCCTTCGATCCCTACTGTCACTGGTAGCTCAGGGTCTTCGATTCGCGGTCGCGGGGCTTTCGGTTCGTCTTGGCGGGAGCGCGGTGAGGAAGTAGGGTAGGGAAGTGAGGGCAAAGTTGTTCATGGCCGCTTGCAGCTTTCGTCGGATTGGAAAGAGACTGCGCTGGGTCCCGCGTGGCGGGCGTGCGCGGGACTGCGCGTGGTTGTCTTGTTCCCTATGCATGCTGCACGTTTGAGAGTGGTGGTCGGCTTGAGGGGAGGGAGAGGAAGCAGCGGGGGCGGGGGGGGGGGAAGTAAGCAAACCCCGCGCTTTTCGTCTTCCTCCGTGCGCGCGTCGATGCCTTGCTCGCCAGCGGGTTGGCGCCCAAATCTTTGAGAGCTGCTTGACGGAAAATCAGTGGAGTGGAATGAGACGAGGAGCTCGAGGAAGAGGAGGACGAAGAGGAGGAGGAGGAGGGGAGGTGATCGCAACTTAAAAGTGGCAGTGGCGGTCGCGAGAGACTGAAGAAGGGTGGGTGGTGAGGGGGTCACAATTCCCCTAAGCCCGGGGTCCGGCTGTCCGGCAGGGCGGAGTATTTCGGTGGGTGGGTGGGTGGGTGTACTTTCTATGTTGTTGTCAATTGGCCAGGGCTTTGACGTTCGGCGGAAGGCAGGCGGGTGGGACCGGGCGGAAGGCAGGCGCAAGGCGCGTGGGACCGGTTCGAACTAGGTTCGAACTAGGTTTGGGAGTGGTATCTGTTGAGATCCAATTCCTACCTGGAGTGAGTTGTCAAGAGGGGCGGTAGACGGGCGGAAGACGGGCGGAGGTAGAGGACAAGACGGGCGGAAGACGGGCGCAAGGCGCGTGGGACCGGGCGGAAGGCAGCGATGGCGGTCTCCGGGATGCGAGGGCTGTCGGTGTTTATTTCCGACATAAGGAATTGCCAAAATAAGGAACAGGAGCGGGCACGTGTCGACAAGGAATTGGCCAATATACGTACGCGGTTCAAATCGGAAAGAGTAAGGCCAATTCTGTCGAGGAAGAGAGAATATTTTTTAGGGAAGCCTTACCTTGTCCAATTCTTTTTTTTCTTTTTCTTTTTTCGAGAATGTCCAATTCTCAATTACGTTGCGTATGCCTGACTGTTGTGTCATCTCCTCTCTCTCTCTCTCTTTCTCTCTCTCTCTCTCTCTCTCTCTCTCTCTCTCTTCTTATTTTCTTAATCACCAATGCGTGTCATTCTTGCGCAGGGCGGGCATCCCGACACTTCCTCAACCAATGAAATTCTTTCCCTTCTTTTTTTTTTTTTTTTTTCTTTTGGTCTTCTGAAGAGGGTTGGCCCCTAAGTTTTTTGTATTCAGTTGTTTGTCTCAAGACTCGAACACTTGATCTGTTTGCTAAGAGAGTTACAAGTGTGTGTGTTACCTTTCAGCCACACGGGCCCTAGGTCTCGCCAGCTCTTCTCAATCATCCGTCTTTCCTCTTCTCCTTGTCATCTCTTGTCTTCTTTCTCCGTGTCTTTTGGCGTTCTGTCATCTGTCACTCGTTGTTTCCAAACAGTATCATGGCTTTTCCTTCTCTTTTCCTCTCAAGATTTGCTCTTGTGCCATCATCTTTTTCCTCCTCCCTTTCCTCTTCTCTCTCGTCTTCCCTCTCCTCTTCTCTCTTCTTTGTCCTCGCGCCCCCTTTTTATCCGATCTCTACCCCCTTGTTTTTTCTTCCCCATTGACTCTCTTTCTCAGCTCCTTTTCTATGTCTATCCTCCCCCAGCGCCCCCCCCTTCCCCCCTTCCCCTCCCCCGCTTTCCCAGCTCTGGTTTCCGTCACCGTTTGCGCGTACCTGCTCTCGACATCATCCATCATATTTCTGCTTGTGAATGCCGAGCTCCTCTCCATTTCGTCTCAACTTTCAATTTCATTGTTCTCCTCTCCCCCTCCCTCTGCCCCTCTCCTCCTCTCGCCCTCCCCTTTCCCGCTCTCCCCCTCTCCCTTCTCCTGTCCCCCTCCCTCCCTCTCCCATTCCTGCTCTCCCTCCCTCGCCTTCTCTCCTTCTCTCCTTCTCTCCCTCACTCCCTCTCCCTCTCTCCCTCTCTCCCTCCCTCTCTCCTTCTCTCCCTCTCTCCTTCTCTCCCTCTCTCCTTCTCTCCCTCACTCCCTCACTCCCTCCCCCTCTCTCCCTCCCGCTCTCTCCCCTTCTCGCCTTCTCTCCCTCTTCCTCTCTGCATCTCGCTCTATTCCTCTCCTTCCTCTCTCCCGCTCCTCCCGCTCCTCCCTCTCCTCTCTCTCCCTCCCTCCCTCTCTCCCTGTCTCCCTCTCTCCCTGTCTCCCTCTCTCCCTGTCTCCCTGTCTCCCTGTCTCCCTGTCTCCCTCTCTCCCTCTCTCCCTCTCTCCCTCTCTCCCTCTCCCTCTCTTCGTCTCTCCGTCCCTCTCCCTTCCTCTCCCTC